TCCTAGAATATCAAGGGGTGCTGAGCATTATTAAGCAATACTTAATATTGCATGATATAAACGAATCTGAAGAAATGCTCCCCAAACTGCCAGAGTATTTAAGTATCTTCTTTAAAAGTAAGAAGGGCTGCCAAGATTTCTATAAAATACTTAGTAAAAAATACTTCTATTTCAAAGGGCAAAATAAATTGGAATAAATTGTTCAATATTAATGACAAAAGCTTCGTTCACATGAAAAGTCTATTTTTTAAAAATCTATTTTCTATTCGCGGTATCTTATGATCACGGTCTGTGCCCTGAATATCTTACTGGCAGCGCGAGCCACTTACTTATAGTAACTTATAGTAACTGGCTCGCGCTGCCAGTAATTACGCCGCGGGACATTCAGGGCACAGACCGTGATCACAAGATATACCACGAAAGAGAAAATAGATTTTTAGAAAATAGACTTTCCATGTGAACGAAGCCAAAGAGTGGTCTCTAATAAATAAACTGCCTTTCAACCTTCCTATAAGTCCTAAATTTAAATGGTTCCAGTATAAAATAAACCAACATATACTACCGACAAATAGCTATCTTGCTAAAACTGGTTTGGTCCACACACCCCTTTTTAAAAGGTGCGGGAAAGAGACGGAGACAATTATTCATGTACTAGCTATGGGACTGCTCCGTAACGGAAACCTTTTTTAATGTAATCAAAGACAAGCTGAGTATGACTTTAGAGAAAAAAGGGAAGTTTGGCAGCTAAGTCAAACGTTGTTTTATGGTGACGGTCTATAACCTAGTTCCGAAGGGATTCGCTATGTAATTTTGGCCATACTTGTTCAAACCTTGGATTGAGTGCTGCATGACCCGACGAGCCTCGGATTCAATGCTGCACATAAGATCGCGGATTCAGTGCTACATCGGCAATTGGTTGTGATTGGTCAATCATCTTATCCAATCAAAGTAACTAGGGACGGCAGAATGGAGAGCTCTACTCCTCGCTCAGGCCTACCCAACTACCAGACTCGGCACCTAAGGATCCTGAATTAACCGGTATATCAGACCACACTACCTGTTTTCAAGGTGTGTGTCAGATCGCATTTCGGAGTATCAGCCAGAACACCGACAGGATGAGCCCTGGCATGCTCGGCTGTCACTTTGATTTGATAGTAAACGATTGTCGTAAAATCGCTATATGATTTTAAAACCGGGCGCATAAATTTGAAAGCCACCTAGATGAACCTAAGACTGCCACATTAATCTAATACAATGCAAAAAAAGCCCTATCAAAAGTGGTTAAAACATTCAAACCGAATGTCGTTAAGTCCCCATATACCCCCATAGAGACAATAAAATAGAGTACTCTAAAGTAAGAGTACAGTTTCAGGTTGTTCAGCCGAGCGTGGATGAGCCCGCAGTCGTGCTACAAAATTTATTCTGGGGTATGATACTCCGAAATGCGATCTGACACACACCTTGAAAACGGGTAGCGTGGTCCGATATACCGGTTAATTCAGGATCTTTAGGTGCCGAGTCTGGTAGTTGGGTAGGCCTGTCGCTGTAAGGCCCGTTTATCATAAGGAAAAAAGCGTACCTCCCCCTGATTAGATTGTCATTTAAATCAATTTCCACCGACGTGCTTTGTCCGGTCGTTGTCTGGAGTTTTCTTCTCGGCCTCTTTGCAACCCCACAAATTAAAACGTCTGCACTATGTTGTTTGGGAATTATATATAAAATAGTCTTTTCGGGCGTAAAAATTACGTATTTTGGCACTGCCACAATTATTCAATTTTAGCTTCTAAAATTACTTCATTTCATTTTATTAGGATTCACAATAAAAGCGGCCGGCATCGGCCAAATTTCGAACATCATACTTGTGTTTGTCACTTTAATTCTTTTTTCCAACACCGTATTGAACTTTTTTCGATCAAGGAGACATAAACATTTTTATTTGGAATTCTTGACAAAAAGGAAAGTAATAAAGAAGCGTATAATGTCCTAAATATGTTAAAGCAATAATACTGAGTAACTCTTCCTTTGAGATTCAAAATTTCGCAAGAAATACATTGTAAACAACGCCTGGAAATATATTCTATTGCATTTTCCCACTAAAACGACTGTTATTGTAGTAAAACTAAAATCTGTGCTTGTCACTTGGGCTTTCGATGCCTTTCTTCGCGGTCGACAAGTGCATCCGTTGCCAATGACGTTTAGGTGTCACGCGGATTCTCGCGTTCATTCGAGACCAAAATAACATGGCGGGAAACCCTCAGACGTAAGTTGCGAGTTTTTGTACAGTGCGTCGGATAACGAAAAGCCCAGAATTGCACACATTCACCACTTTACAGATACTTACAAAATCGCTGCGCGTATGCGTGAGAATTGCATTGTGGGAAAAAATAGAGCAAAACAAAAACAGCGAGTATACGAATAATGGGGAATAACCTCGACGATCACACACTCTGGTCCATGATTGTAAAATTAGCGGGAAATTACCTTTCTCGATACCTTCTATCATTTCTGCAACTTGAAACACAGCAGGTAGTCATTATTTTGTGTTCAAGAGCCTTCGCGCCATGAGTTCACGCTCTTTCCCCCTCCCACAATGCAGTTCGAGTTTCCTGTCGACGTACAACTGTAAAGTGATGAATTGTAGATATAAATGCATTTTGAGCAAAAAGACGAATATATCTTATGAATCTTATAATATTGTTATATATATATTTATTTCACTGTAACATATGCATCCACTTGTGTGGATGAAAATGACAATATGAATACAATTTTTGTGAATATGTTATTAAACAATCACAATGAGTAAGAATATTTACTTATTTACTATTGAAAAAAAAAATTACTATTACTACTATTACTCAATTGCCGATGAGTGCAGCACTGTCTTGTAGATCCCTCCTAGCAAAAGCAGAGAAGAGAAACTGAGCTAGTGCAATAATGGTTTCTTTTTCTTGACATTTCATAATTATAGTAAATTTTTCATCAGTTGTTTTTAGGCCAAAATGTGTATCGTGTTTTGTAAATACCTTATATAATATTGTGCGCAGGTCGTTGTATAGGGGGCATGTTGTGAGAAAGTGTTTTTCGTCTTCAATTTTGTCTTTAGAACAGTAATGGCATATTCTGTCGGTCCGAGGAGTGTTGTTGTATCTGCCTGTTTCAATGTGAAGTTTATGCCCACTGGTGCGAAAACGGCTTAGGTTTTTTCTTTTATCAGTATCGTGAAGAAGGTCTAGATATTTTTCTTTTTTGAATGTATTTTTGAATTGGCAATATACTCTGGATTTGGAATTGTGCTCAANGTGTGTGTGTGTGTGTTTATTTCAATAAAAATTATGTATACAATTCTATGTTGTTTTGCTTTACTTTATTTTGTATCTATTAATAAATATGCATTAAAGAATTGAAATTAACATGATCAGACTTGCCCTGTGACGTCATAGCAAAACATAAACAAACGTCCCACATGTCCAGACGTGTCCAGCGACATCATCATTTTGTCACAACAAAATTCCGTTACCATGGCAATACAAACATAAACATATTTGTTTACTTGTTACGTCATGTCCCATTGTACGCTATAATTTTTCTTTGTCCTGTTACGTCATTAAAACAAAGGGTTTTACGGCATTTAACGTCATTTCCTTTGTTACGCCAAAGTAGCCTCCTACTACTGTCGTTGACCATTGGTTAGTACGGGAAAATTGCCGTTTTTTCCAGGAAAATCGTATTTTTGGCCAAAACGAAGAGTTATTATGACTTTAATCAAATACTATATCTACAGCTTTAGGTGAATTTGCTAAAGAATATCTGGACTCGGTACAGAATTTGGGCCACCTTAAGGCCATGTATGTATGCTTGCACAATTTTTAAATTGTGCAAGCATATATTATAAATGCTATTAAAATACTTAGCCTCACTTAGAACCATATAATAAGTGTCGAGTGTAAATGTATGACAATCTCCTGTGCCTTGGAGTCACAGTTAGTCGTGCATGTCAAACATCTTTGTGTACCTAAGTTCACATCTCGATAGTCAGAACTGTCAGTCTTTTGTGTTGCACCAGATTGTTTATGGCGACTATTGTTTATATGATGGTTTGTAATGTGTAGCAACTTGTTCTGTGCACCACAGCTAAGCCTTTATATGAACCTGAGATATATCTCGATAGTCATTCTTGCGTGCTGTACCAGATTGTTTATGGAGACTATTGTACGTTTATTTATTCTGTATGATCATGTAAGTGAGTGATGCTTTCTGTTATTCCCGACAATCGGCATAATAATGTATATTGTGACTGTGGTATATTATAAATGCTATTTCTGTAATGTGTAAAATCTGGTGTGACTCATATATGATAATAAGCTGGTTTGTTTGTTTATATGTTACGATATATATGTTAATCAGTTTGTGTTATGTGTATTATACACTATTACTTCTGTTGTTTTGTGCAACGTATTCTGTCACTCCCTTGTGCTGTTAATGTCCAATGAGACTACTGTATGCTAGTTTGTGTTTGTTGCATATATGTTGTGATATGTGTTCAGTGTGAAAAATGTATGTTTTGTTTTGTGATGTCAATAAAAAAGAAAAAGAACTTTCTTACACTTTGTGGTAGTTGTTTTCCTGTCTGTCGGTAGAATTTCTGAATTTCTAAAACTTTTGCCTTTCAGTAATAACATACAGTCTATATATATGGCACCATGCAGAATTACGTATAGAATATCACTCCATCTCAATATCCCATAATGTAATTAGGGCGTACATGTATAATTACCACTACAGGCCATTGTTATTATCAAGATTTTGGGAAACCGGACATAGTCACACGAAAGCTTACCCTTCCCCTTGTGAAAAGTCCACACCTTAAGGTATTAGCACGTATATTGTTTATACAGAATCTTATGCCTTATCACAAAGCCTTTAGAATTTATCAGAATCCGGTATTACATTAAATGAAACTCAAACCAAAGTTGGTCTTGCTAAGAAGTTTATTATTATTTAGCGGTTAAGGCAGAGGATAAAATCGCTTCATTATATTGTCCAAGATTTAACAAAGAAAGGAAGTTATCGTCATCGGAAGTAGTTTCTGATCACTGCTTTGTGTTTTTGTTCACAGCAAAAAATCTGAAATGGAAAAACATATTTCAATGAGCTGTCATGTAAAATGAGAAGGAGGGGATTTGTTCAGCAAAGACTATTGTTCTATTGTGTGTTTAAAATAATGTTTCACTTAAAGTAAAATTTAATCTTAAAATATCGCTAATAATTACCACTGAATTGAAGAACACCCTTTTGTTCTTGCTCTTTGATTTCCTTTCGAAGGTTCTTTTCATATCTCAGAAAATGCTAAAAGAAAATGTGAAATACTTATTGGAGGTTCAGGATTATTATTTTTGGTTTGTTTCTTAACTCCCTTACCTATGTCGAATAATGTTAACGGTAAGCAAACTAGCCACCTTGCCTTGAAATTAAAAATGCCGCTATCTTGGTAGTCCACATTTTAAATGAGTAGTAAGGCTTATGTGCCGAGGACGCGTTATAAATTTTTAGCTTTAGATTTTATAGCGTCAGTGTACTAGTAATGTATTTGATGCAATTACCTATTGCATTGTTATACCAGCAGGCCTTATTTTGTTGAGCAAAACATTTGACAATGAATCACAAAGATCCTTATGTTGTTGAATAAAGCATTATTTGACAACTCGAGCTGTGTACATTTTGGGATCTTTGGGCGAAATAATTTGCAGGCTTTGCTTATTGGAATATGTTACTCTTTATTCGTCAGAACTTTCCTGTTGGTAGATTTTCTGTGCATTATACATTAAATTAATTTTTCTGCCAATATATAGATGTCAATATATAATCCCACAAGTGGTAAATATGGTATGAGTTGCCAGTTTAATCTTTAAAACAATAACCTGCCTTATCCTCTAATATTTCATATTAAAGTATGACTTTTGCTATTCCCGGCCTCTGGCAACGAGCCCACCTCTGGTCCATATGTAGTAGTAGTAGTAGTAGTAGTAGTAGTAGTAGTAGTTTATTTACCGTGACATTCTTGTCATAGGTACGGTACAACAATTTACAGGATAATAATGTTAATCACAATAATATAAATAAATGAGAATGAAGATAATAAAGACAGACAATGTACGATATGTCATCACCAAGGTACACCCACTTTAAACCCGTAAGAGCGTCACGATCAATATACCAATTTTTAATCTCTTTAGTTAAAACTTGTAATATTTTGTCAGTCCTCATCTCCATTCCGAAAATGGCTAAGAAATAAGCCCTTAAACCATAGATCGTTATTTTGTCAACGGCTTGCTTAGTTAGAAGGAGAAAAAAGTCCTGAAATCTACAAAGTAATCTCTAAGCCTTATACTCGGTATTTAATTTAAAGATAAACATAATTTTATAAACATATACTTACATCTGCACAAAGCATGATACAGTCCTTTATTAGGAGGACTCCAGTGACTGAAACGAATTTAATATATGAATATTCTAGCATTTATATATGTGTGTGTGTGTGTGTGTGTGTGTGTGTGTGTGTGTGTGTGTGAAATAAACACGCATACAAAAACATAAGCTATTTGATTATCAATGAACTTGTATGATCTCTAAAACTGAACTAACAAAATAGCGATATATGTACAATATATGTACCGCGTACATGCATCACTATCAACTTTTAAGCCCAAACATTGACCTATAGAAACTCTAAGATCGAAGGTGTAGACTCATTTTATCGCAAGAAATATGGATTAAGTCTCAGCTCAATACTGAAATTAAGTTTGCTACTATAAATTCATCTTAAGCCGAAGTAGACTATATGTTAGGACTTATGGTCAATCCATGTATATAAATTTGCTTTAAGTTATCAGAGTAAATTAAATGAAGCGGGGATTTTGATTTTACTTCACAGTTTTGAATTCGTTTAACTAAACTTGGATCTCTTCTGAACAACATTGCCACCAGAAACAACACGGCTGGGAGTCAATAAATCGTAGCATTTTAGTGATAGCAACTTGGATTTAATTACATGTTTGAATGGCATTTTAATTATCTTACCTGGCAAAGTGTTTATGCAGGATTGATTGTTATTCTAACCGCGATGAAATTTAGTTTCAAATGGAAAAAAATATGAATTGGTGAAAAGTATTTGACATGGTGATAACAACTTTCATCCTGGTCACGTGGACACGTACTTGGATCATGATGTTGCTCGAGGAAGCGATCTTCCATAGTCAAAAATCCATCCTGATTCGTATCGACCCATTCAAATATTGCCCGACTCCAATTTTCGTGCAGTTTTTCATTCATCTTGGACCAGCTTCGTGCAAATTCGTCACTTGTTGTTTGTCCGTCCCCTGAAACCACGGACCAAGAAGTGAGATTATATCGTTCGAGCTCAGCCTCACCGGCTCACTTGGTTGGAAACTACAGCCAAGGTAAATCTACTTTTCAAAAAAAAAAAAAGGCAGATAACTAACTTAAGTGAAATCCAAAGCATTTTAATAGGAAATTATGCATAAAACGCATCACACCCTCAAACATGATGATGGGAAGGGGCATGTACTATCAAATTGATTAATGCCAGTAATAAAAATACCGGTTTATGCGCATCCCTTAACACTTATCTCCAGTTTTATTATTGTGATGCCATCCCTTTAAGTGATGTTAAGATTGTGATGTTATCCCTTTAAGAAGCAACTTTAATAGAATATGTTGGTTAATTGATCTTCCTTACAACGCGTTTGTTTGTATTATTTTCATGTATAAATACAACACATTTGAGCAGCTGCTTACCATTCTCGTCAGTGGAGTCGATCAGCTCCTGTGTTTCATCTAAGACGCCGTTCTTGTCTACGTCATAATCCATGCATAACCACTTTCCAATTGCCATAGCTGCCAGTTGAATGTCTCGATCCGGGAACTGTTTGGTATTGCTATAATAGTATAATGAAAAAA